CCTCTCGGGGAGCCCGGCCAGCTACCGAGAGTATCTTGCCCGCACGGCAGAGCCTGGCAAGCTCCCCGTGACGTATTCGATATGCCAGACACAGTAACAACAAAGTCTCCAATGGAGACGTTACTAGGCCCGCTCGAGCAAATCGATCATCAACTGGAGGGCCTACTTTATAATTCAATCCAAAGTTCATATTGTCTCTATAGCATATGAAAGGGAAAAATTTTCTTTTTCCCATAAGACAATGAGGCAGAATGCTGAAGAGATAGTACAAGAGTTAAGATGTTCAGTTTGCACAGATCCATCCAATCCCGGTTCAAATTCTGGCATCAAAAATGATCTACCAGTACCACCAGGAGTGATCCCTCAATACAGAACAGATGTAAGCCCTGAACACTGCCAGCTCAAGCTCCCTCCACCACCTCCTCAAAAAATATACATCTATGGCAGAAAAACAAAGGACATAACATCTTTTAGCTACTGTAAAGTATGGTGATATCTGAGAATCTCCACAAATGTGGTATTCTTTCCACTATATAACTAAGAGTACAACATTTAAAATAGTTAAATACGATACATTTTAATTTCTAGTGATAACTCATGTAAAATACTGGCTTTATAAATAGTTCAAAATAAATAGTTCAAAGTCCTTTAAATTATTTTTAGCATTTTTTCTAACCTAACAATAAATAATTGGAAAAATGCATTAAAAAATTTTTTTAAGTACAAAAAAGAATTTGTGCTTAAAATTTGCCATTTTACCAAGGCCCACTCCTTTATCTGTCAGATTTCTAGAAACCATAATCATTCACAGAGCATAAAAGCAAAGAATAAAAATCAAAATGCTTAAATAATAATATATTTTTCTGGCAGTTGAATCTGGGTCGGTCATGTGTAAGGCAAGCACACTACCCACTGTATTATCTCTCAGTGATAATATTTTCTTTTCTTCTTTTATTTATTTATTGAATCACCGTTAGAACAGTCACAGATTCAGTTCAATTCTCAGTTGGTCATACAATGATCAAACACCCATCCCTTTACCAGTGCACATTTTCCACCACCAAGAACCCCAGTATACCCCACCCCTCGCCTGTGTGGCAGATTTCCACTTTACTCTCTCTCTCTCTACATTGATCACATTCAATATCACATTCATTCAACAAAAGACCCAACATTGTTAGTGATAATATTTTAAATACAAAGAATATAAACATATTCCCTGACTTGTGAAAAAATACCTCAATGTGCAAAAGGTACTAAAAAATACACCTTTATATTTCATGACCCATTTAAACTTCACTGATTTATTCCAAGTTTTAATATTTCTCTTCTGGTCTTTTTATATTTCTATAAAATATGTAACAAAATTTGACAAAAGAGATTTTCCCTACAGTTTATCTGTTTGAATTTCTTTATATTCAAACTAATCTCTGTAATAAAGCTTTTTTTTGCCTTTCAGTTTTGTACTTTTGAGGTTAGTTCATAATCTATTCTTTGGAAATTTCAACTGGCAGTCCTCCATCCTAGGTTAATTGTGCAATAAGAACACTTTTCAAAATAAAGTTAACCTTTACAAATTTTTAACATTAACTAAAGCCCAAATACAATTAATTGTTTAAAGTCTCAATCTAGTAGAGATTTTAGATATATAAGTTATAAGTATTGAAAGCCAAGAGATTATCACTAGGAAGAAATTCTTGATACTAGAATGAAAGCTAGCTTTTGAGACTGTGACCAATTTTAAAAAGTCTACATTTTCTTATTTTTAAAATCTCAACAGCTACTCTAATTTTAATTTTCAAATCTATTACTATGCTGAAAAACAAGAACTGTTAGTAAGTGCGAATTTTTAACTCAATGATACTGGTTTTATACCCAGTCATTAGAATTCGCCCACTTGTGCTTGGACCTGAATCGAATTCTCTCCAAAGTCTTATAGTTCATCAGGGAAATATAAATCAGCTACCACGTTTCTGGAAAAAGCATAAGATTCCTTTTCTAATCAAGATACAAAACAAAATCAGGTATAGAATTCAAGAATATGCTTCAAAGTATGTTATAAATATATTTTGGAACTCTAATGGTGAGCATGGTAATAATGACAAAAATAGTGACAAAAGATAACAGCTAACACATTGAAATTATGTAACCCTCATAATTGTAAATTTATGAATGAAAAGTTTTGAAGCTAACCATGAACTGACAGCTTATAAAGTGATAGACCTATGGCTTGACTCATACTCATACTAGTAATATCAGAGTTCCAGTGTCTATTTTCCCCTACATCCCACCTAAAACTTCTTGAATACCTACTATACACCTCTTAGTCACTGCAAATGATGCAACATGTGAATTAACTGAAGGCGTGCTTATTAATGCACCAATCTAGAATCCCTTAATTCAAATGAATAAAGGATAGATTTTTAAGGATTTCAAAAGTTAAAAATGTGTTTTCTTGACTATCTTAAACTAAGAAGCTTCTACACCTCAAAAGAAACAGTGACCAAAATACAAAGACAGTTTACAGAATGGGAAAGGATATTTGCCAAATACACATCTGACAAGGGGTTGATATCAAAGATATACAAAATACTAGCTGAACTCCACAAGAAGAAAATATCCAACCCCATCCAAAAATGGGGCAATGAAATGAACAGAAACTTTCTCAAAGAAGAAATCCAAATGGCAAAAAAGCACATGAGAAAATGTTCTACATCATTAATTATCAGGGAGATGCAGATCAAAACCACAAAGAGATACCATCTCACACCTCAGAGACTGGCCCACATCCAAAAGAACAAAAGCAACCGATGCTGGCGCGGATGTGGCGAGAAAGGGACACTGTTTCACTGTTGGTGGGAATGTCGACTGGTTCAGCCTTTCTGGAAAACAGTATGGACGATTCTCAAAAAATTAGAAATTGAGCTCCTATTTGACCCAGCAATACCACTCCTGGGAATATATCCCAGAGAGGAAAAAATGTATAGTCGAAGTGACATCTGCACTTGTTTGTTCATTGCAGCACTCTTTACAATAGCCAGAAGCTGGAAGAAACCTGAATGCCCAAGAACAGATGACTGGTTAAAGAAACTTTGGTACATCTACACAATGGAGTACTATGTAGCTGTTAGAAAAGATGAAGTCATGAAATTTATATACAAGTGGTACAACATGGAAAGTATCATACTAAGCGAAATGAGTCAGAAAGAGAGGGATAGACATAGAAAGATTGCATTCATCTGGGGAATATAAAGAAACAAAATATGAGATTAATACCCAAGAATAGCTGAGATCAACACCAGAAGGATTACTCCATAGCTTAGAGGCCAGCCAGGCATTCTAGGGGAAAGGACAGCTCAGATAGAGAAGGGAGCACCAAATAAAGGGTGTTTGGAGGATCCTCCCAGGAGGGGAGATGCATGTTGAAAGTAGACTATGGACTGAACATGTTTGTCACTCAAAGGCTCTTTTGCCAACCACAACACTCAAAAGGAGACAGAGAACACAAGGGATTGCCCTGCCACAGAGGCAGGGTGAGATGGGAGGGATGGGGGTGGGAGGGATATTATCCATGGTGGTGGAAAATGGGCACTGGTGGAGGGATGGGTATTTGATCATTGTATAATCGAAACCCAAGCACAAAAAATTGTAAATCTACAACTGTACCTCATGGTGTTTCACTAAAAATTAAAAAAAAAAATGTGTTTTCTTTTTTTCCTGAATCACCATGAGATACAGTTACAAAGTTTTCACGTTTGAGTTTCAGTCATACAATGATTGAACAACCATCCCTCCACCAATGCATTCTCCACCACCAATGTCCCCAGTACACCCCAACCCTTTCTAACCTTTCCCCTCCCTCTATGGCAGACAATTTTCCCCATACTCTCTCTCTACTTTTGGGAATTATGGTTGGCAATATAGATACTGAGAGGGTATCATGTATGGGCCTTTATCTACTTGCAGCACACACTTCCCATCCCAAATGATTCCTCCAACCATCATTGACTTAGTGATCCCTTCTCTATTCCATCTGCCTTGTTCCCCAGCTCATGAGACAGGCGTCCAACAATGCAGCAATATTCCTGATCCTACGTCTACTGTCCTTAGGTGTCAGTCTCATATTATATTATTTTGTATTCCACAAATGAGTGCAATCATTCTATGTCTGTCCCTCTATTTCTGGCTCATTTCACTTAGCATGAAACTCTCCATGCACCCACTTATAAGCAAATTTCATGACTTTATCTTTCCTAACAACTGGATAATATTCCATTGTGTGGATGCATCATAGTTTCTTTAACCAGTTGTCTATTCTCAGGCACTCAGATTGTTTCCAGATTCTGGCTATTGTGAACAGTGCTGCAATGAACATACAAATGCAGATGTCATTTCTACTGTGCTTTTTTGCATCCTCGGGATATATTCCCAGAAGTGGTATTGCTGGGTCATATGGAAGCTCACTTTTTAGTTTTTGAAGGAATGCTCATATTGTTTTCCAAAAAGGCTGGAATAGTTGGAATTCCCATCAACAGTGAAAGAGCATCCCTTTCTCCCCACAACCACGCCAACACTGGCTGCTTTTGTTCTTCTGAATGTGTGCCAGTCTCTGTGATTTGAGATGATAGCTCACTGTTGTTTTGATTTGCATCTCCCTGATGGCTAGCGATGTGGAGCATTTTTTCATGTGCCTTTGAGCCATTTGTAAAAAATGTTCATTTGAATATTAACTATGTGAGAAGTACCAAGTTTGATCCTGAACAGAAAAAAAGATGACTAAGACATGGCCCAAAACAGAATAGTATTTTAACTTTTGTAGTTTTAACAAAAAGTTAACAAAAATTCTGCTGCTGCATATCATCTCATTTAAAAAGTTAGAAACCACACAAACCACTTAAATTTTCATAAGAAAAAATTCCTGCTACCACCAAAATGCTAATGTATCTTAGAAGTGCATATTTTAAAAAAGTGGGAGGAAACGGAAATAGTTATTAACTTACATTTTCTATGACAAATGTCCATTCTTTATCTTCAAATTCCTCTGCATGAGGATCCTGTAACAAAAAAAACCAGAAAAGTGGAAATGCATTTTTTCATTCTAGTCAATTTAATTATTAAAAAAAGTACAAACAATTTGGCTTTTAGATTTCATGAATTTTTTAAAGGAAAACACTGAATGGTCTATTCTTTTATATTGTGCATAATTTTTCTATATTTAAATCACTGTTTTATATTAACAAATTCTGCATTTTTATCCTTATTGGTGCATGTAATTATTAAAGCACAAATGATAAAACAAAGGGAGGGGAGAGAGAGAGAGAGAGAGAGACAGAGAGACAGAGACAGAGAGAGACAGACAGAGAGACAGAGAGACAGAGAGACAGAAGAAAAGAGCATACCAACAGAGGGGGAACGGGTGGGAGGGAAACTAGGGACACTGGTAGTGGGAAATATACACTGATGAAGGGATGGGTATTGGGATATTATATGAATGAAATTCAATCATGAACAACTTTGTAACTACACCTCACAGTGGTTCAATAAAATAAATAATTTTTAAAAATTTAAAATAAATTAGAGATACTGAATAAAACTATTAAAAAAGCACTTAATTGGCCCGAAATGAGAGTACAGCCAAGTAGAGCACTTACCTTGCATGGGACTGACCAAAGTTTGATATCCACCATATAAGGTCCCCCAAGCCCTAGTGGGAGAAATCCTCAAGTGCCAGAGCTAGGAGTAATCCCTGAGCACAGCGGAGTGTGGGCCAAGAAACAATAATAATAATAATAACAACAATAACAATAAAAAGCAAGGGCAGGAGTAATAGCACAGTGAGTAGGGCTTTTGCCTTGCATGCAACTGATTCCATCCCTGGCACCCTGTAGTCCCCCAAGCAGCACCAGATGTGATCCCTGAGAGGAAAGCCAGGAGCAAGTACTGAATACCTTCTGGAGGTGTGACCAAGAAAAAAAAAATTAAAGCACTTTATGTAACATAGTAGGGGAATAATAAATGGTCAAAGTCATTGGGATTGTTTTTCAAGCCTGGCTCTGCTATGAAGCAGGTTAAAGGAGATAGAATACTGTAAAGAAAGATTGAAGGAGACTTTCCATAAATTGTAGGGCACAAATAAGAGACAAGCAATATAATGTGACACAGGAGACATCTATCAATGCTTTCCACCTGCCTTTTACCCTCATTTTCTTGAGGAATGAAGCATAACTTCAGCACAGATAGTATAATTCAAGAGTAATACTGAATAGTTAGTGAACACACACACTGCCGAGTTATTGTATTAATCATCATGGAAGTTATGAAACAGCTACCATTCCTAATCCCATTTAACAGAACATGAAACTAAGACTTCAAAAATGTAACTTTCCACATAAGCAACAAATAAGCATTAAACTTTGTTGCGATTCCAATTAAGTCCCTCTGATTTACAGCCACATTATTGGTTCTTATTTTCTTCCCCCCCCCCCCCCCAACTCCCCACCCCCAGCCTTCCCATTTGATTTTTGAGCTACTCCAGCCTCACTCAGAGGCTATTTTTGGCTCTGTGCTCAACAGTGACCACTGAAGGTGCTCGGAGGAATGGATCATGCCAGAGATTCAAACTGGGGTCAGTCACTGGCAAGGCAGTGCCTTGTGACTTATACTATCTTTGCAGGCCTCTTGGTTCATATTAATCACCTACTGTCCAGGACCAAGACAAGTACCTAGCACAAAAGAGACTCTCATTGATGAATATATAGCTATTAAACTAACAAATACTAAAAGGTACTTTGTATAAAATATACATTCTCAAAGTAGATGAAACATTTTTACAAATACATATATAGATATTACCTGAAAGAAAAATTTCATATGAAAGAAGGGCCAAATCAACAAATCAAAGTCAGTAAAAGAAATGCAAAAGAGCAAGGATATTTCTTTTCAGACAGTTTAAAATAACATATCCAGGGCCAGAGAGGATTTGGGGGTTTTGGTGTGTTTTTCTGTTTGTTTTGTTTGGGGGCAACAACAAGCAATGCTCGGGGGTTACTCCTGACTTTGCACTTCTGGCGGTGCTCAAGGGACCATATAGGATGCCAGGGATCAAAGTCAATTTGGCCACATACAATGCAAGCACCCAACACAAGCGTCCTGCCAGCTATACTATCTCTCCAACCCCCAAGGCCAGAGAGATAGCTCAAGGAACTGAGTGTACATCTTGCTTGTCTGGGGTCTGATCTTTGGCAGAGTATGATCACTGAAGCATTGGAGAGGCACCCTTTCCCGATCTAGCACAAGCCAAGAGAAGCCCACAAGCATCCTCCAAAAACCAAAATAAAAGAGTGTATCTAAATAATTGACTATATATTATTGACTAGATGAAAGCATTTGTAATGAAAATTCATTCTAGCTTGAATTAACTCTTCTTTGCATTCTACTGTCTACTCTCTAACCACCTCAGTAGAGAAAATCTCTAATTTTCACTATCCTCTTCGAACTCCTTAAAAGGGTTTTGCTTTCATTTATTAGAAGATATTTTCAATCTGACTCAAATCTCAAAAAAAAAGCATGGAAGCTAAATAAACTTCTGATTAAATTATAAGAAATAAAACACTGACATATTTTAATTTTTAATTGCATCATTGTGAATTCCAAAATTATTCATGATTGAGGTTCAGGTGTACAATGTTCCAACACCAATCCCTTCTCCAGTGTCTACTTCCCTCCATCAATGTCCACAGTTTCCCTCCTGCCCCACTACATGGCAGGCAATTTTTTCTTTTTTTCCCTTTTAGGCACTGTAATTTACAATACTGTTACTGAAAGGTTTTCATGTATATCCCTTTTACCCCCTTTCAAGCACCCAATTCTTGTCCAGAGTGATCATTTCCATCTATCATTGTTACAGTGGTTGCGGCTCTGTTCTAATGACACTTATCTCTTAATCCTCTAAGTAACACATTTCAACAGTCACTTTAAACTCAGAACCAATCATCCAGCAGAATCCTTTCCCCAAACACAAGGTTGTCATTTAACAGCTCTATTCTAAACCCTTCTTATCATTTTTTTCAAGTTGTATATCCAAGTCAAGTAATATACCCAAGTATATATTCATAATTTGCATTACTAATATAAACAGCAGACTAAATCAAACTACACAGAGATTACTTAAAAGTCTTTAAAACATGTCAGAGATCATGCTGTTGTAATCTATACTCATAGTCATTTTTATTGAAGAATAGTATCTCGCCCGTATGGCAGAGCCTGGCAAGCTCCCCGTGACATATTCAATATGCCAGACACAGTAACAACCAAGTCTCCAATGGAGATGTTACTGGGCCCGCTCGAGCAAATCAATGATCAAGGGGAGGGCCTCAAAGCAATACTCTAGAAGGAGGAAAAGGGCTAAGAGAAAACACAACAATGACTAGGCAAGTGAAAAGTTTCACTGTTTCCTAATCAGGAAAATGGGAACAATTACATAACCTTAGGGCTGAAATGATTATCCAATAAAATATTACAAAGGTCTTTCTGAAGTTAACCTGCTTTTGGTTAACCAATCTTATAGAATAATCCCCATAGAAGAGAAATGAATAAGGAGAATTTATTAAGAGGAGTCTAAAACCGTGGCTGAAGGATAATAGGAAGATTCTGACTCTCCTTAAAAAAGAAGAAAAAGGAAGAACACTCTCTGTCTCATTCCTTGATCACTTGATCACTTGACATCCCGTTACTCATTGATTTGCTCGAGCCGGCGCCAGCAACATGTCCATTCATCCCTGTTGCGTGCTAGTGTAGCCCAATGGGGTCTGCTCGTTCTAGGAACATGAAGAGCCTCAAACTGATCGTTCAGGGTCTTGACGAAGAAGTCTGACCATCTCGTAGATGGGTGGCCATGCAATATTTTGACATCCTGTAGAATCCGTGGGTAATGGCTCTAGTCCAGCAGTCATCTCCAAATCTCATTATGTGTCCAGCCCATCTGATTTTCGACACCTGGGCAAACCAAGACAGCTTCCCTTATTCTTGATAGTTAACAAAGGTCTGAACTCTGTATTCTTTCTCTCATTTGAGTGAAGTGTGATACTCCAAGCAAAGCTCTTTCATTTCCTCTTTGGGAGACCCAGAGAGCGTTCTCATCCTGTTTTCGTATGGCCCAGGTCTCTGAGGCGTATGTTAATGCAGAAAGAACAGTGGAATTGAAGAGATGTGCCCCGAGCCAGAGGTTCTTCATCCTCTCAGCTATTTCTTCGATGCTCTTGAAGGAGTTCCAAGTTGCTCTCTTCCTTCTGCACAACTCAGGTGCCAGGTCATTTGTCATGTTGACTTCTCGACCTAGGTACAATGATGGCATCTTCCCTTGTTGCTGTAATAGTGCCAAAGAGCTCCCAGTTGGTGGACGGTCTGGGAGTTCTCTTCTTAAACTTTGCAGCCCTTTCTCCCTGCTCCGTGAAGTAGAATTTTGCACGAAGGAGACAGTGGTCCGATCCCATTTGGAATTTTGGGACAACAGCGACATCAGTCAGGCAAGACTGGTGATTGACTATGATGCAGTCAATTTCATTGTGGAACCATCCACCGGGAGACTCCCATGTCCAATGTTTAGATTCGGTCTTCTGGAACTGTGAGTTACCATGGATGGTCTTGTTCGACATGATGAACTCAGACAGTTTCTCACCCTATTCGTTACATTCTAGGCCATGGTTCCCGAAGTGGAGTTCATCGGCTGATCTTCTCGGTCCTATCTTGGCATTAAAATCACTGACAATGATCTTGTAGAAGGTATGGTCTTCTTTATAGAACTTCTCCAGTTCCATGTAGAACTTCTCAATTTCTCCTTCATCATAATTGGATGTTGGTGCGTAGACAACGAAGATAGAAACTGCCGGCAGTGAGCCACATATATTCAAGTGTAATCGTCCAATTCGGATTGTTAGACATTTGAATGAATCAATGTTTATGGCCAAGTTCGTGTTGACAAGAACACAGACACCACTGACGCCTCTTTTGTCACATGTTCCGAGGAATGGTTCTTCTCCAGTGTCGAAAACAGCGTGATGTGATTGATGCCTTCTCATCTCGGTCAGACCAATTATGTCGTACTTGATCTTTCGTGCTTGCACCATCAGGTCCTTGATGGATGCATCTGATGCCAGAGTACATTCATTGAAAGTACAGACAGTCATTTTTGTCCTTCTTCGTTTTGGCAGCCTAGTTTGGCCCTGAGAGTCCTCATTCCTTATTTATCCTTAAATCAAATATCTGAACAAATCAAGTATGGTATACAAGGTATATTTGTATCAAAAAACTGAAAATGCCACAAAACCAAGCTTCTCATAGGAAATGCATTTTAAATTTTCCTGTGGGTAGGATGTAGGAATTAGCAAAAGAAGCATTACAACTGATTTTAATAAGGGGCTGGAGTGATAGTACAGTGAGTAGGGCATCTGTCTTGCACATGGTCAACCCGGGTTCAGTCCCTGGCATCCCATGTGGTCCTCCTAGCACCACAAGGAGTAACTTCTGTGTGCAGAGTCAGGAGGAACCCCTGAACATTGCTGGGTGTGACCCCAAAAAAATCAAAATAAATAAAGAACTTGATGGATTTTTTAAAAAAAAAAACTGATTTTAATAATAACAAGTTTCAAGAATTCTCAAATCTTTAGACCTTATAAACTATACAATCCACTAGCATTGTTATAAATCCCTGAAACTGATATACAGCAAGATACTAGGTTAGACAGATGGGGAATAACTAATGCCCAAAGACCACAAAAACAAAGAGCAGGAGAACTGATCTTTAAGAACGCATCTTGCCAATGTTGGGGAGGGGTAACAAGTCAGGTAAGGGACCACTATGACAATGATAGAGGACAGTGATCACACTGAACAAGGACTGAGACCTGAAAGGAGGAAAAAAGATATGCAGGATACCCTATCAGTAAAAGTATTACAAACCACAGCGCCTAAAAGGAAAAAAAGAAAAAGAAAAAGAAGAAAGGGAAGGGAAGGGAAGGGAAGGGAAGGGAAGGGAAGGGAAGGGAAGGGAAGGGAAGGGAAGGGAAGGGAAGGGAAGGGAAGGGAAGGGAAGGGGGAAGGGAAGGGAAGGGGGAAGGGGGAAGGGGGAAGGGGGAAGGGGGAAGGGGGAAGGGGAAGGGAAGGGAAGGGAAGGGAAGGGAAGGGAAGGGAAGGGAAGGGAAGGGAAGGGAAGGGAAGGGAAGGGAAGGGAAGGGAAGGGAAGGGAAGGGAAGGGAAGGGAAGGGAAGGGAACAGTGCCTACCATAGAAGTACGCTGGGGCATAGGAGGGAAACTGGGGATATTGGTGCAGGAAAGTGGACACTGGTAAAAGAATTGGTGTTGGAACAATGTATACCTTAAACCCAATTATGAATAACTTTGTAACCTTGTCATTCACAGTGACTAAATAAAACTATGTAATACAAAGCACAAACACCCACCCCCCCCACACACACACACAAAAGGATAACAGAGAAAATAGAAAAGGGACCACTATGACAATGATGGTTGGAAGGGGTCACTCTGGATAGGACATATGTGGGATAAGGACTGAAAGTGGGATAAGGACCAAACATGATGGCTTCTCATATCTATATTGCAACTCATAATGTCCAAAGGGTGGGGGTGAGGAGGTGTGCCTGACATTGAGGCAGGATGAGGAAGGGGAGGTGTGGGGAGCGGGGTAGGGGGAAGGATACTGGGGATATTGGTGGTGGGAAATGTACATTGGTGGAGGGGTAGGGGTGAGTGTTGGATCACTGTATAACTGAAACCCATAATGAAAGCTTTGTAACTCTCTCACCTCAGGGTGATTCAATTAAAAAAAAAAAGATACTAAGTTGGCCTCACATGCTGGGGGAAAAGGCAGCTGGTATAGAGGAGGGAACACTAAGTAAATGATGTTTGGAGGGCTCCCTTGAGATGGAAATTGCATGCTGAAAATAGACTGAAGGATAACATTGGTTTTGTCTTTTCTGCCTTGCCTCAGGGAGCTGAGGTTTACTGGGTTACTCCCATCACAGTGCTCCCATTCCTCTGTGTTTATTTGTAACTTCTTTCTTTGTGCTCTGTTGACTTGTAAATATTTTTTTCTCTTCTCCTTAAGTCCTTTGCATAGTTAATTCAGAGTAATGTCCTTTCTGTATGGGCACACGAAGACAGTTAATGCTATGCTTTTGTAACATGGGAGTTAATTACTCTCAATGATATTTACCACCTGGATATCTGTTCTCTCAACTTAAGCCTCAGCTGCCCTTGCTTCCTATCACCCCAAAAGCAGAGTCCCGACGACGGGCTGGATGGACCCAGGGCAAGTGGTGAGCTATGTTTCTACCCTGGCATCGAGATGGGCCTGGCCAAAGTGACTAATGCTTAACTATAAGTTAAGAGCTTGGTCATGGACAAATTGCTGTCATGATCCAAAAAGTAATAACTAGATTCGGACCCTGCTAGGGTTAGGAAAGATTAATCTGGCCTGAGCACTGTAGTTGGTAAGATGTTCCCAGGAGGGCTGCTCTACAAGCCTCAATGTATCTCTTACTGTGTCCATACAAAATAACTAATATTAAGAAGTAGAACTAAGGTGTTGATTGAGATATTGGACTGAGGAAAGGAGAAAAACACCTTAAAAAGGTATTTTGCCCATGGACAGTCAGAAAGGGCTTTGGAATACTCCTAGGTGGTGTTTCCACCCTTGAACCTGCTGGGAAGTCAGGAACGGCTTTCTTATGTTGACTTTGCTACCAGACATGTAGCATGGGCCCATAGGGCTGTGGGTTAGTGAGAGGAGTGTTGGAGGAGAGGAGAAAGAGAGCAGAGCAACAAGATGGAAGTGTGAAGAGATGAGCGGGAGAGACAGGAGGAGACGGGAATGAGGGGCAGGGTGAGACTGGGGGAGTTGAGGGGGGTGGCGAGGGGGGTGGGATACTTGGAACATTAGTGGTGGAGAATGGGGACTGGTGGAGGGATGTGTACTCAATCATTATATGACTGAAATGTTATCACAAAAGTTTGTAAGTCTATAACTGTACCTCACGGTGATACATTTAAAAAAAAAAAAAGATGCTAGGTTGTATCCAAATGTATAAAACAATAAACAGTCGGGGCCTGAGTAATAAATAGGGCAGTGGGCAGGAAGCTTGCTCTGCATGCAATCGACCCGGTGCTCAATTCCTGGCATCTGATATGGTCCCGCCAGGAGTAATTCCTGAGTGCAGGGTCAGGATTAACCCTTGAGCATTGTCAGGTGTGGCAAAAAAAAAAAAAAAAAAAGTAAAATATTGCCATTTTACAATGTGATTATATAATAAAACGTATACTTATAAAAACTTACCTTAAAAAGTGTTACAGTGATTTCAATGTTTTCAGGAACAGGCCATACTACAACACCCCGGTATGGATTTTTTATTCCAGGTTGCCAGCTATGAGCCTACCAAATAAAAATAATGGTTTCAATATGAAGTACAGGAAATGCAACGTTAATAATTCACAATATATTGATCCCAATTAACTATCCATTACGTCTATAATCTCCCTGAGAAAAAATAGTCAAATAAAATTTTAAATCAAATTAAACTTTCAAGCATTTAATTTGGTTCTAGATAGTTCTATCTCAGGATAGCTATAGACAACTCCTTCCAAACCTTCACCACCTTCCCTGCCCCAGCACAAATAAAAGAAATAAAACAAGTAAAACAAGACAAATAGAAGAAAATGCAAAAAATAATAATAAAAGACACAAAAAAAATCCTTTAAAAATTTAGGCTAGTATGTCTTCCTATTTTTCTGTAAAATTTTACTAGGAAAAAATGTAATTGTTTTTGCAAACTATTAAAGGCAAATTTATTATTTAATAGAAAAAAATAATTTTATACTTTGCATTTAAATGTATTCCCCACTTACTATGGTGTCTATTTGGAACTTATCTAAAACTGAAAAAAAGGAACATAATTTTTTTCATTGATATTTCTATTATTTATACTATCTATCACATCTTCACTCCCTATGTAATCTTACTTATATGTAACCCTATCGATATCCACTGGTTTGTCTTTTTATTTTGTTTTGTGTACATCAATTATATATCCACATGCTATACAGCAGTTGCAATTATCCTATGCCAATCTTTTTGCTTCTGACTTATCCACTTGCCATAATTTCCCAAAGTTCCCCCATTCTGTTATAGTAATCATCATCCTTTCTATAGCTGAATAGTATTCCACTGTAGAAATACATCTTCACTCAACCATATATCAGTGAGAACCTTTGATGCTTCCCTATTTTACCCACCACACATAACATTGAATGAACAATGGGGTAGATGTTTTTGTGTTAATGCTTTCTTTAGATAGATACCCTAACGCAGGATTGCCAGATTACTTAGTATTTGCTTCTTAAGGAAGCTTGAGAATGTTTCCCAAAGTGGTTGCATTTATTTACATTCCCAAGAGTAAAGGAGGATTTCTTTTTTATCCACACCCTCTCCAGCATAGCACTTGAATTTTATTGCTATTTTTGATGCAAATCATTCTCACAAGTAGTAGGTGGTCTTTCATTATCATCTGGGTTCCAACTTCCTTGATATGCATTATAATATGCATTGTTTCCCATGCCTAACAGCCTTCATACATCCTCTAGAAAGAATGTTTATTCAAGTCTTTTTTGTTGTTGTTGTTGTGTGAGAGGCACTCCCAAGCAGTGCTCATTGAGTCCAGAAGCCACTTCCAATTATACCTACAGAAAGGTCTGATAGCTCAGTGCTGAGTCCTGGAATATTACAGCTACGTGAGCTGGGGAATAGGTAGGAATGCCACCCAATCACACCCAGAGTCCACTAAGGATATATGCAGCAGTGCTGAGGAGTTATGTGGTACTAGTTATCAAGCTCAGAGTCTTTGCTTGCAAAGTATAAGCTCCAACTATTCACATTTTTACTCCCTTTTTTTGATAATTTTTGGTTTAATCTTTAGGTTATTAAATTATATGAGTTTTCTACACACCTTGAATATAAACCCATTATATAGTTAACATTTCTAGCATACAATTTTAGATTTTTTTCCTCATAAATCTTAAATATCAAGGTTCTCCGAAGAACTCACCCCCAGATTTGAGAGTCATCAGTATAATTCTTCCTCCTGGTGAAATTTTCAATTTCAAAGCCAAAAGAATATGGTTCATCCAGATACCTAAACTAATCTTCATTTCTATGCATAGCAGAAGATGTACATGCCAATAAGGATAATGATAAAAGCTAATGTGTATGAAGTGCTTTCTATGTGTCAGCAATGTTTAGAAAATGTCTATAACTTATTTATGCATTGCATATACTTAAGAACCTTATGAGTACCTGTTATTCATTCACTCACTCAACTCACTCAACTGATAGGAACTATGTGCTAAGGTTTATCGAGGCACTGTAGCAAAAGAGAAATCTGCTTTGGTGAAGTTTACAGTATAGTAGGCAGATAAAGATGAAACATTTAAACCAAATATTCAGTATGTTAGGTGTAGGCAAGTGGTATGGGAGAAAACAGAATTAGAGAAGATGGATTGGGAGGCATAGTGAAAGAAGGTAATAGTAATCAGAGAAACTATCTCTGAGAAGGTAGCACTTGAAAACTGCCTGAAAGAGGTAAAGAAATTAGTTGTATAAATGGCTGTTAAGAGGTTTAGAGTAAGATGAAAATGCCTCAGATAACAAAATCAAGAAAAATGTTGGGCTCAATCATATATGGCTCTAGTTCATGAAGACTTTGTTTTTTGGGGTCACACCTGGCTGTGCTGAGGGCTTACACCTGGCTCTATGCTCAGTGATTACTCCAAGTGGAGTCAGGGGAAGACATGCAATGCCAGGTATTGAATTCATGCAAGGCAAATTCCTTATCCCCTATACTATCTCTCTAGACCCTTCTAGAAGACAAAAATCTTGTTTATGCAATATACCTTAGATAAGAAGCCATTGGAGAGTTTTAAGCAAAGGAATAATAATCTAACTTATGTTTTTACAGGCTAACTTCTGCTAATGTATTAAGAATAAACTCCACTCTTAAGAGGAAATGGGAATTCAGTGGAGAACTGATGATGACATGACTTAGGAAGTGCAAAACTGTAGTACAAAATAGTCATTCTCAGAGCAGAAGTGAGAGTTCAACAGGTTGAGTACATGCTTTGCATGAGGAGGTCTGGGTTTGACCTTGGCATTACAAGGTCATTTGAGCACTGCTGGGATTCACCCCCAAATAGAGAGGCTAGAGTAGTCTGAGCACCACTGAATATGGCCCCAAAACACAAACAAAAAGGCAAAGAGACAGTACAGGAAGTAGTTCAGCATATGTCTTGCATGTGGCTGACACAATTTGACCCCTGGCGTAGCTTTGTAAGCCTAGAGGCTCAGTGAACACTGACAGGTATTGTCTTGGATACTCCTGAGCACAGCCCAGGTGACCAGGTAACCCCTGAAACCTCAGAGCCTGAGTAGCAGTGCTTCCTTGGGCTCTCACATTAAACTGATAGTCAAACAAAGGGGTAAGAGCTTCTTAAGCACTGCTTGGGGGTCCTTTATCTGCCCCTCCCCTAACAAAACCCCACAAAATTCTAGTTTTATTGAGATATTTATGTCTAGGTATCACATTTAGTGGTGCCTTTGTTTGCCTGGGGAACCATCTGATTAAGTGCTAGACAGTTACTCCCGGAGGTGGTCAGGATACCCTGTGGTGCCAGGACTTGGACCCAGTACCCTTAAGCCATGCAAGCATGCACTTCAGCCCTCACAACCCTCTCCCCAGTCATTCCAGAAATATTCTTACATTTTCAAGATACATCAAGATTTGCTGTTAGATTGTATTTGAGAAAGAAAGTAATCAGGGTTGAAGGCTTGTAGTCTTCAATTAGAAGGAATTACTATAAACAGATTGAGGCAAGATTATAGGAGGAATGGATTTGAAAGATATTTAGTTCAAATGCATAAACATTAAATCTGAGGTGTCCTCAACATTCAACTGCATATATTCATTAAAATGGGCAGCTGAATACGTGCCCAGAGTTTCAAATTTGAGGATCACCAGTATGCACATGACGCTTAAAATCTTAAGAGACACTGGAGTGATCACAAGGCAGGGAGTACAAACAGAGAATTCAAAACTAAATCTTAAGAGTACAACAAATCCAGGTGTTTGGACCATGGTAGCAAGCTTACTCCCATTTCACAGCCTGAAATCCAGCCCCCCATCCAAAGGGAAGCCTGACCCCCAGTATCTCTCCCCTGGAACCACCACCCTTTATGGCCTCCCTTTAAAATCTCTAATCCCAAAATTGCACAGACGTGCTAGTTACTTCATCTATATCCTGTATTAGAGGTACTAGTTAATCCAGATCTCACATTTCTTTACCTCTCCATAATTCATGGAAACACACAAAGACAACCCAACTGCAGGAGCCAAAACATACAATAATACACAGGGAAAAACTACAAAATGCAAAAGTCACAATGGTAAAACAATGCAGACACTCACCAGACTTACTGAGTGAAGTTACTGAGTGCTAGCCCAGATGCACCAAACAGAAATAATGAACTACATAATCTCTTAGATGAGGAATTTAGAACAGAGCTGTTAAGGATGCATAAGGAGCTTAAGCAATGGAACACACTGCTAATAAAATAGAAGAGGATATGAGAGCAGAAATGAGGAAAATGCAAAAGAAAATACAAGCAGAAATGACAGACATAAAAAAAACTTGGTAGGTGAAATAAAAAAAAAACTCACTGGAAGGTCTCAGCAGCTGCTGAGGACGAAATCAGTGAGCTCCAAGATGAAGTATGAAGAATCTTCAGACAACAGCGGAAGATGAAAGAGCCTTAAAATAAACCAACAGATATCAAGAGAAAATCGGGATGAAACCAAGAGGAATAATATAAGAATTATTGGAGTCCCAGAGGGACAGGAATAAAACCCTGATGAAGAAGCAACTGTCAGAGACATAAATGCTGAAACATTCCCAGAGCTGAAGAGCACATAGAAGAGCACATAACACATATTCAGGAGGCCCGAAGGGCACCAACTAAAAGAAATCTACCGACTAAAAGAAATCCAAATAAAAATACTCCATGACATATCCTTATCAGAATGATGAAAACCATAGACAGATAAAATTCTGAAAGCAAGATCAAAGAAGGAAACTGCTTATAAAGGAACATCCTTAAGATTTACATAAGACTTATCTGACGCAGACAGGGCCCGAAGACAGTGGGGGATGTAGTGAAAAAACTCAATGAAATGAATGCCTCACCAAGAATACTCTCCCCCAGCTAGAATCTCATTCATAATAAAGGAACATCCTTAAGATTTACAGAAGACTTATCTGACGAAGACAGGACCCAAAGACAGTGGCCCTGTCAAGTATTGTTCATACATACTTGAAGGAACAATACAC